GGCCTCCCCGACTTTAGGACAACTCATGTGTCTCCATCTGTAGCATCCTAAATACTCTTTCCTTTCTTATCTCTATCTTTAAAATGATTTCTCTCCTATCTTGGAAAGGGGGAAAAAGAACAAACCCTCCACCCTTCTCTCCTCTCCAGTCGAAACTTCTCAGCAAAGGTGACCTCAATTTCTTCTACACTCACCCCCACCCAATGCCCAACATCCTCTCTCTCCTGAACTGTGAAGACCTCGGGCTCAGCAGGGGTCCTGGGTCTGTCTCTTCTTAACTGTGTATAATAAGAGTACTGTCTCTGTGTACCTCCCAGGGTCGTGGACCCAGCACATGAGCTGATGACTGAAGCACATGGCACAGTGCCTGGCCCATGCCAAATATTTATGAATGAGAACTTGTAAGGTCAGTTCTTGATGTTTAGAAGCTAAATCAAGAGGTCATGTTGGCATTTTTAGCATCAGAGCCAATAAATCTGTGTAAGAATAAACTAGATGCCATTATAAATTTTGTAGTGTTCTACAGTTTAAAGTCTCATTTGGGCAAATTTTTAAAAAATGAAAGAAAACATTTTAAAGTTCCTCTCTGCTAATAAATCAGCAACAATGCAGGAGTTGCTATAATACACGGAAACCTTACACATCTTCACATCTTATAAGAGTAGGTGAAAACAAGGTTGATGGACACGTTTCTACTGTTTTGAACATTCACCAACCGAATGCGTAAGAAACAGACCTAATGGTATACCACCTCTGAAAACATACTCTGTGATGTTAGCACTCAGCAGCAAGGCATCAGTGACAGGCATCTGCAGGGACTCATTAGGCTTGACAAAAATACAAACCCGATTTAGTGACAATTTTAAATACTCATAAGAAAATGTTATGCCATTTTGAAAAAAAGACACATTCACAAAAATGATTATTTGGAAACTGTCAACACCAAAAAGAACCCTATCCAAATACAGAAGTTTCTATTTTAATTTTTTTTGTAAATAGCATTTTTTATTAAATAAAATCTTATGGAATTCTACTCAAAAACCAAGTAAAGTTGCATCTAATTTTCTAAGACTTTAATCTATGTTTTGTTCTTGAATTTCCTCTTGTCTATATCAAGCCCTAGAGAGCTGGGAAGAGAGGGGAAAGTAGAGAGGAGAGAGAAAGATCCTTTACCCTCACAACATTAGGCACTGTGTTCAGTTCCATTTCAGCAATGAGAAAACAGAGGTGCTCCAGGGTCCACAGCTAGGAGAGCCTACACTTAAGCAAGAGGCACTGATGATGGGCACCACCTTCTCCATCTACTGGGAAGAACTGTGAGCCGCACTTGTGACTCCACGGAGGGGTGCAGATTAGGTAATACCCGAGGGAATTTCCTGCCCCCACAGCCAGATAAGCTGAGTCAGATTTAATTAAATTTAAATAAATTTTTTTTAAATGTGACCTTTGCACATCGGAGTTTATAGTCTAAGACGATTCTCACTATTTAATAAGCAACAGGCAGAGGTATTCTAGGTGAAACAGAGACCAGGAACCCATTTTGGTCTTGTCTAGATTTTCTAAGTTGTTTGTCTGATAATCAAAAAATATATTTAAGTGCTTCTTTTGTGCTTTTTTTGGGCAGATCTGGGAACAGATCCTGGTCTTCCGATTCCAAGTTGAGTATCTTCCCTTGGAACCATGATTTTTATCATCTGACCCAGACTGAAAAGAATCCACACAACTCTAATCTCGAATCCTCAAAACTTCAGCTGATTTCTCAGCCTGCTTTTTTCTCTTATGGGGATACCTGTCGTTATTCTGCTTAGAAAGACACTTTAATATGGCCCATTTTCTTTTTTATACTTGCATAACTTTGAAATTACTGTTTCCCAACTTTTCCTCAGAAGTATCCCTAACAGCAAGGGAGAGTGACCTTACCCAGGTGTGTACCCCGGGGAATGCCATTCCAAGCCAAACATTTCTTTTAAATAGAATGGTTTATCTTAAAACCTCAGGCATGTCTGCTAATGGCACTAATGATGATAGGTGAAACTTACCCAATCTTTGCCAAGTACTATGGCTGTTTTAGGTGCTTTACATTTGTTGCGAAATCCTTACAACAACCCTACCAAACAGGTATAATATTCTGTCCTCATTTTGCAAGTGAAGAAACTGCAGTATAGAGAGGGTAGCTGGTACAAAGTCACACAGCTGGCAGGAAGAGAGCCTGTATTCAAACATGGTTGTGATAAAGTGTGTGTGTGTGTGTGTGTGTGTGTGTGTGTGTGTGTGTGTAGCTGGCAGCTACGGGGTAGAGGCCAGGGATGATGCTCCCACAACAAAGAACTATCCAGCCCAAATGCCAATTGCACCAAGGTTAAGAAACCCTGGTCTAAAAGTATTTTAAATTACTTACTAGCTAAATTGCTTACTTTTTTCCCCCCAAAACTCCAAAAGATGTCATGTTATCCAGTAGCACCTTGAACATCACAATTTGCAAGTCCATTTGAAAATGTGGCCTCAAAATGTATGCAAGTGACAAAATTTTGTGGTGTTTTCAAATGTCCTGAGACTTCAATGGCAGAACCTTTTTGTGACCCACCTTTTCTGACCGGAGAGTGAACAAAAGATGAAGTTTTCCTTCTTTAGCCAACAATGGTAAAAGGATGGAACATTTGACAGACGACAAGTGAGAATATTTGGCCCCAACATCATACTTTTTTAAACGAGCTTTAGCATCATCTATCAAACTTGTTCTAAAATGGAAACAAACCAAACATTTTAGTAACCAGAATTATGGTAAAAAGCTCCTTGTCCTGCCTATGTTTCCGCTTTGTTGGGTATTTTGAGGTTTACCATTTCTGAATCTCAGTGTACTTTCAATAACAAGGTAGAAGTAATAATACCCAAAGTGCATAGTTGCTGGCAAGGTAAAATGAGGCAAAAAACTATAGTAGTTCCCTTTACTTGTGGTTTCACTCTCCTCAGTTTCAGTACCTGTGGTCAAATACAGTACAAAAATATTCAATGAAAAATTCCAAAAATAAGCAATTCATAAGTTTTAAATTGACTGCTTTTCTAAGTGGCGTGATGAAATCTCACACTGTCCAACTCCATTCACCTGGGATGTGAATCATTCTTTAATCCAGATTATCCAGGCTGTATATGCTACCTGCACACTGGTCATGGAGTGGCCTTCTTGATGATCATATTGACTGATGGGATATAGCAGTACTTATGTTCAAGTAACCCTATTTTTCTTAATAGTGGCTCCAAAGCACAATAGTGATGCTGGCAATTCATGTATGCCAAAGAGAAGCTGTAACGTTTCTTTAAATGAAAAGGTGAGTGCCGTATGATATTTTGAGATAAACCACATTCACATAACTTTTGCTAGTTATACTGTCGTCATTGTTCTATTATTGTTGTTGTTAATCTCTTACTGTGCCTAATTTACAATTAACCTTTTTCATAGGTATGTGTGTATAGGAAAAAACAGTGTATATAAGGTTCGGTACTATCTGCAGTTTCAGGCATTTACTGGGGGCCTTGGACCACATCTCTCATGGATAGCGGGGGACTTATGGTACTAAGAACACAGTTTAGTACACAAGTTCATTTGAAACCTAAATTAAATTTAAATCATGGTAAAATATTCTTTCGACAATACAATAGTTAAATGTTGAAATCTACAATTATATTCGGATAAGACAGATTTCTAAGTCATTGTAAGGTCAGACAATTGTAAAATTAAGGCCTTTCTCTTAACCTGGCCCTTATGTCATGTTATCAAATATTCTATTTGTTATCAAACATTCAATTGCCTTATAACAGTGGTTCCCAAACTTTAGTAGCAACAGAATCACCTGGAAGGCTTGTTATAACACAGATTGCTGGGCCCTCCCCGCAACTGTGACAGTGTTTGGGGTGGGGCTGGAGGGTTAGCGTTTATATCAAACTCCCAAGTGATGTGATGATGCTGCAGACCAAGAGAACACACTTTGAGAACAACTACTTGATAATATGCAAGTATTTGGATTTATAACCATAAATGGTACCCTGAGTCCATGACTGTGATTTTGTTGTGGTCCTTTTGGAAGGCGTATTTTGTTGCTGGTTAGTGTCGTGGGTTAAATAGTGTTCCCCATGCCCCCTAAAATTGATGTCTACCCAGAACCTCAGAATGTGACTTTATTTGGAAATAGGATTTCTGCAGAAGTAATTAGTTTAGGACTTAAAATGAAATCATCCCGGGTTTAGGGTGAGCTCTAAATCCAGTGACTGGTGTCCTTATGAGAAGAGAAGACACAGAGAGATTCACATACAGGAGAAAAGACCATGTGAAGATGGACTGGATATGATGCTGCCATGAGTCAAGGAACACTGGAAGCCACCAGAAGCTGCAGCAGGCAAAGAAGGATCCACCCCTAGAGCTTTCAGAGGGAGAATGGCCCTGCCCAACACCTTGTTTTTGGACTTCTAGGTTTTAGAACTGTGGAAGCATAAATTTCTGCTATTTTAAGCTACCCAGTCTGTAGCACTTTGTTATGATAGCCTAATAAACTAAGAGTTTGATTTTAATTTTTCTATGGGAAAGGCAGTTTTGCAGAGTGGGCAAAATCAGATGTTTAAGTCAGTCAGAACTGGTTTCAAAGTGTTTAGAAATGACCTCTCTGAGCACTTCCCTTTTCTCATCTGTGACATGCTTGAAGATACTTGTGAAGATTTGATGACATAGTTCATATACTGTGGCTGGTACTCAACTAGTGGTCAATTATGGTGACTACTGTCATAAATGTCCCCATCATTAGGTGGGCAGTTGTTTGCAGGAGGTGTTTGCTATTTTTTGCCTCTCTCTACATTGCAGGATGCTCACTAAACGTGGTTAGGTAATAGCAGGGGACTGCAAAAACGACCCAATGGCTTGAAAAGAATCACTGAATGTTGGCACTGGAGGGAACTCCAGGGTCCATCCTATGCACGCAGGCCCACATCCAGAAGTGGGAACTGGCCCGCCCAGTGCGGACGGACTTCACTCGGCGTGGCCAAAACGCAGCTCTGTCTTGGACCGGAGAAGGTGCAAAGGTCCTGGGACCCTGCGGGCGGTCAAGGAGGTGAGTGCACCGAGCGTGGACTCGACAGGTAGACAAGCGGGTTCGGCAAAAACAATAGCAAGCACAAGGCCCCGGCGACCCACGCCCCTCGATCTGTTCGGCAGTGCAGCGATCCCGGCCGGGCCAGGTCGGGCTCGGGGCGCCTGGGGAGGGGGAGGCTTTACCTGATTAGCTCCGGAGGACAAGATCGCGACATTGTCGGGGTAAAGTTTGTTTCCTGCTAGAGACTCCTCGGAGGGGATCGACCAGAAGAGCATGCGTAGAGGGGCACTGGACCTGGCCAAGAGGCGGGGCCTACGGCCAGGGCGGGGATGGGGGCGGGGCATAGGCTAGGAAGTGGGAGTGGGCGGGTCCTAGCGCCGTAGGCGGGGGATCCGGGCGTACAGAGCGTGAGGGCGGGGCTTGGGGCGGGGCTTGGGGCGGGGCTTAAGGCGGGGCTTAAGGCCGGGCCTTCCGGCTCGCGTGAGGCAGTTTCTGCGAACTTCATTGCTCTGCCTTAAGAATGAGAGGCTTATGAGGAATCATGAAATTGACAGTTGTAAAAAGGGGGAAAAGGTGGAAATGCAGTGCTGGTGAGTTGAAAGGATTCTGCCATGCATTCACTGTTGCTAGGAGGTTAAGTTGGTTCACTTTTTCTGAACAGCGGTCCTCACATATTTACCGAACACCTACAGTGTGCTGGGTGGGTCTGTCCCACAGCGGGCGAAAAGACACGTGGCGCTTACAGTCAAATGGGAGAGAGAAAGACATGAATCAAAAAATTACATAGGCAAAGCAGAGGTCTTTAGTCCTTAGAGAGCATGCAAAGGAGAAACGTGGCCAAATCGGATCAGCGAAAGCTTACCTGAGAAAGTGGAAACAGAGTGGACTTTGAAAGCAGCTGTTCTCTAAATGCAGTTCTGGACTAGCAGCATCTGTACCACCTTGGTCCTGTTAAAATATAGACTCTTGGGTGTCATCTCAGAGCTGCTGGATCAGAAACTGGGGGTGAGGCCCAGCAATCTGTGCTGTAAGGGAATTCTGATGCTCAGAGCCTCTGCTCTAAGGTATGTGTGAAAAAGTAAAAAACAGAAAGGGGCAGGGGGAAGAGTTATAGGAAGAAGGACAAGTTTGTACAAAGACTCCATGGTGTGCAAAGACCCCAGAAGTAGCCGGGTAAGAGCCACTGAGAGGGAGCCTAGTTGGAGCTGACGTTTAAGAGGCCAGATTTCAGAGACTTAAGGCCAGACTGATTTCTCCATCCCTCACAGGAAGTGCAGTGCCTAGGGCCCATGAAAATGTTTTAATTTTAATTTAAAATCAGAGGAAAATGAATATAATAATGAGCAATATATAATAATGAATCCAGCCTAGATTATATTCATCTTTATACCAATGCAGTAATAAAATATAAGTCGCTTTATTATTTTATGGAGGAAGGGGTTCGTAAAACCAAAATTGCCTAGGGCCCAAGTAATTCAGTGTGACAGTTGGGCCACAGACCTTTAAAACCACTGAGCTCAGATGTTCACCTGGCAAGTCTGCTGAGGCTGGGAGAGCCCAAGTCAAAAGCCTGATGACATCCTAATAATAACGATAATGGCACTGCAACCATAATCCTCTGAGTAACCCCATGAAGTAGGGTTATTTCCATAGAGGTATTATCATCCTCACTTTCCAGGTTAGGAAATAAAAATGTCTTGCTTAAATTCACAGAGCTAGGGTTTAAGGTTAGAGTATTCTGACCTCTGAGTTCATTTATTTTGACATCACCTCTCAGAAGCAACTGGTCTGTGAAGTATATGGACCTGAATGAATGAGGAGATAAATTAACCCCTAATCCAATATCCATTGCATACTTACTATGTGCTAGGCATGTCTAAGATGTGGCCCTTGACCTCTAAGGCCTCTCAGCTCTAGTAATGCACAGTGTGTTCTCAGTTCTGCATGAGAAGGGAAAGGAGAATGGTTCAGAGAATTGAGTTGGGGGCTAAAAATTATTGTCTGGGCATTTTATTTTCTCTCCTTTCAGATACCCTTTGGCTGAATCCTTGATGCGAAGATGAGCAAACTGAGGCTCAGAGTGGTCAAGTACCTTCCCATGGTCACACAGTGGGTAAATGGCGAAGCCAGGTGTTGATCCTATCCACTGAGCTGCAGCTGGCACTCTGGTAGGTTCTGAGGGACAGGTGAAATTTCAAGAGGCCAAAGTGGGAAAGATGGCATTCTCAGCAGAGGAAACAGCAGAAGCCAAGCTCAGGTGAAGCGTCTTGCTCAGAGGGGTAGGTAGGGTACCATGGCTGGAACAAAGAGGGCATTTTGCAGAGTAGAACCCTGGAAACAGGTAAAAAGGTTTTGGGAGCCACAGCAACATGGAGGTTGTCCTTCTTCCTAAAGGGAAAGGAATAAGAGGTCTGGATTTTCAGGAACATCTCTGTGGAATCAGAGTGGGAGATGGATTGGAAGTGGGGAGAGACTGGAGCCAGTCAGGGGGCTCTTCCAAAAGCCTGGGCTCAAGGAACCAGAAAAAGATGCTTTAAACCTTCTGAAAAATCGCCATACTCCCAACATCAGAAAGTCAGAGCGTAACAGGGGATGGCCTTAATTAAAAGGCAGGATCAAGATGCTTTGCTGTATATGAAGGCTACATGCACAGCATCTGCTTTCAAGATCAGAAATACTGCTGTAGAAATACTTAATTTTTATGGGTTTTGTAAGGCTGGAAGCCATAGCACGGGTACTTCACAAGGTGAAATGCATCATAAGATTATATATATGTATATATATTGTATATAATCATATATGTATGTATGTGTGTGTATATATATATCTTACATATATAAGATTACATACTATATATGTGTGTGTTTATCTCTGAACCTATAAAACAACACAGGCTTCAAACTTAATGGGCAGTGTCTTTAGGGGAAACGATTTGTGTTTGTAGCTTTTGCACAGAGATTTTTTGGTAGTAACATTCTGGAAAATGCCTTTAAGAGAAACAAAGCTATAAAAAGGTTCAGGCCAGTCTGCAAAGTCAGCATTTCAATGTGCAGTTCTCTCAAAGAAGCACATCTTAGCACCCTGGGTAGAACTTATCTGCAGGCCAGGCCTGGGTGCAGCAGAGATAAAGAAAATACCAACCAGCCTTCAGGAACAAAGGATGTCTGGGGAAAAGACCCACAACAAGCAATTAGCTTTAATACCAGATAAGTGTTATAATCCAGGAAAGGGGCTAAGTGCTCTGGGGAGTGAGAAGCAGCAGGCAAGCAATTAATTCTGCCTGGGTGTAGGCAGTGGGGTCTAGGTAGGTTGTGGAAAGATGATAAGATAATAGGCACCACTTAGCACTTGTATTATTTTCCAAAGAAAATAATGCTCAAGAAATGTGAGTTCCCTCCATTTCTTCCTCAAATTGCAGGAGGGTCTCTAAGCTCTTGGAGGGCAGTGTCAGGGAAGAGCTTTCAGATTAAGTCTCACATATCCATCAGGGCATAATGGTTCTAATTTCTGAGATGGGCATTTATCCTCCATCTACTCCCCGCTCCTCTTCTGCCAAATCCAAGAATGCTAAGGGGGCACAGCTTTCTCCTCTTTTGAGTGGAGGAAGTTGAGGGAGTTCTTTGAGGACTAGGTTTAAATAGGAATTTCTCTATGAATGAGTCAGGGTCCTCAGCATCAAACCCATCTGGGGGCTGCTCAGTGCTCCAAATGTCACCCTGCAGGTGTTTCTCTCAGGGTGGAAATTCACCCAGGAACATGCATTTCTGAGCAAACTTCTAGGCGATTTTTTTTTTTGTAAAGGTTAGACACTGGTTTGCATGTTCCAAAGAGAGACATTTGCTGTTGAGAAGATAAGGGCACCTCCTGGCCCCAGAGGGAAGGGCAGATGGTGGCCACCAGTGCCAGGAGGCACCATTCCTGGTAGCACTGGAACAGTCTTTCTTTCTGGTCCTGGGAGTTGGCAACTCGAGCAGGTCCATCTCAGAAGAGGCTCCAGGGAAGGCGAGTGGCTTGTTTTGTAGAAAGTGGGCTGGAGTGGACAGATCTCTACGTAATGTGGTCTTTGCTTTGCCTTTTTGAAAAAAGACCCATTAAAAAGGAAAGGGCTCGTGAGTTTGAGTCAGCATGTTCTCCTGTTGATGCTCATTCTTGGCTAGGCATGGACCTGGATACTGGAGACAGAGAGATACGACATTTGATTCTTGCTCTTGAGAGATTTGTTTTCAGATATGGTGTTGAGTGATTTTAGTTTGCATGAGAATCTCCTAGGGGCTGATTATACATGTAGGTTCTTGGGGTGCAGCCTCAGGAATAATGATGCAGATGGAGCCCAAGCATCTGCATTTACAAACAGACCCTTGGGTGATTCTGATATAGTTTACACTTTGAAGGGAGGAAGAAATGAAACTTGAATCTGAAAAAAATAAAATAGTAGACATCAGCCAGGCCCAGGAAGTCTAGATAGGCACTTTAGCCAAGAAGTCAGTGACCTGAGACTGCCCTAGATTTCTGTCAGCAAGTATGGACTGGGAACTAAAAGTTAGACACATTATAGAAAACATGCTTCTAGAACTGCCTTGGATTATAAAAATGTAAATTGCCGGGGCTTTATTTTTTAGGGAACTACAAATGTGATTTAAAACAAAAAAATCCATGATGTTTTTCATCATTGTTTAATTTTCACTATGTAACAATAAAACAGATATATGCTTGCATGTTAAGACCCCTTAAATCTCTGAGTTTCCATGAGCCAGGCCTGCCAAAAACTGACAAAAACCAATGGTTGCACATCATTTATGTATTTTATACCATTTTTGGTTCTCATTTCCATGCACCTTTAGAAATGAGCTTAAGATTAGTTATGTTTGATTCCTTTACTGTCATGTAGTCTCTGTGTAATGGAACAATCAAGCAGGTTTAATTACCAATAACAGTCGTGCTGGGAAATTTGTAATCTAAATGAAGGTTCGGTCTAGGATATACGTAGTAGCATGACTGTACCATTCAGTGAGGCGCAGTCTGGTTGCATTTAGCTTGTGAATTAGTTGTGATTTTGGCTTAAGATTTTCTAGTGCATAGGGTACACTCAATGTCTGTGGAAGAAGCACAGACTCTACTCCACAGAGAATTACCCTCTGAGTCCTTGCCTTGGGTCTCCACACTAGGAACTCACAACTCAATTCTGGTTAAACTCTTGCCTTTATAGATTGGTGAAAGGAGGTGGAAACACATCCCTCCCCAAATCCATACTCCACCACCTACCTGGCTAGGTGCCTTTTCCAAGCCTTATCCAACCTATTTATTACACCTGGGTGAAAACCGTGCCATCTGTGTTCTGCTCACAGGAATTACTCTCAGGTGTGCATTGGAGATCATCAACACTACTGAGTGGGCAGAGACAGATGGACAATCCCTTTGAGAAGGATGCTGTCCGTTTGCTGCTAAACTCTGGTTTCCTATTTGTCCTATGGCTGGTCGTCTTAAATTAGCCACATAATACTCTTGGGGAGGGACAAAGTGGGCATTGGTCATTGCTTGAGGTCTTCAGTGAAAATCAGAAGAGAACGTGGGCTGGCTGAGAGCAATTTCAGATCTGAGGGGGGAGGATTGTACTTCTAGCAGCACTGTCCAATAGAACTTTCTGCAGTGATGAAAATGCTCTATATCTGTGCTTTCTGATATAGTGGCCACTAACCAAATGTGGCCCTGGAGCACTGAAATATGGCTAATGTGACTTAGGAACTAAATTTTAAACTTTATTTACTTTTAGGTAATTTAAATAGCCACATGTGGCTAGTGGGTACCATATTAACATAGGCAGTTTTATATTTTCTAAGTTTCCTTCCATCCTGCAACTTTCTTGGAAATATCTGGTCAAGTCTTCCATAAAGGGTACCATATCTTCCAGGTTAAACACATGCTTTGGGAAAAATTCTTAGAGGTTTCTTCCCAGGGTATTTCTGGGGGATGGAGAGTGGAAGCAAGCATCATTAATTCTTTTCTCATACAAAAAAAAAAAATAAGCTCACATTACCCCCAATCAGCACCCACGCTTATCCCACCTCCTATCATGTCAGTGAAGGGTTTAGATTTACCCAAGATAATAAGCATTAGCAACAAAAATGCTTATTTTTTATCACATGGCATGAGCTGCGTTGAGTGAGGTGTCGGATGCGATGATCGGATGTCATACTTGCCTTTAAAGAGTTAATATTGTGGAAGGGGAAATACAGCATTTCCCAAAATGTTCCAAGCAACCTTAGACCTGTGCGGTCCCCTGTGGGAGGACACTAATGTCAAATACATTTCAGGAAGGCTGCATTTGATACCTCCTCACAGATAAATAATCTGTTAACTTGGTCAAGTTTGCAAACTTTGTTTAGTCCCACTTTCCTCTGATTTTCTTGGCCACAGAATTCTTTTTACCCCCATAATCCCCACTGACATTGATCTGAACTGGTGTTTTGTTTGAAGCACTTGGGGTGGTGCCACATTAGAACGATGGGTAGGTGTATAGGGGAACGGTAAATAATGTCCTCCTGGGGCTAAAGGAAAATCTCATGTAGAAGCCTGAGGATGCTGCCCCAAAGAGTAGCTAAAATACTGCCATTCCTTCATTCTCTGCCTCCTCCCACTAACATCTAAGGTCCAGGAGAGAAGGAACAAAGCATCTTTTTCCCACTGCTGTGGTCTCAGCAGCCAGGTAATATGTATTTTTTGGCAGAATATAGATATGTAAAAAAAAAGAAAAACATTTTAACTGGGCTTTGAAGGAGAGGAAAGATTTTGATGGTCTAGAGTGAAGGTGATGTTCATTTTAGAAAGGAAGACAGATAAGAATAAAATCACTTAGAGAGTCATGTAAAAGCTAGCTTTGGCTAAAGAAAGTGTGGGAACCCAGTAATGGGAGATCACACTACAAGGACACACTGTGAGCAGTCTATGGAGAACAGAGAGTTGCGGGGAGGGGGTGGAGGGAGTAGGGAGCTGGGGAGAGCGAGTTAGCAAGCACTAGCAAGCCAGCGTGTGAGCTGGCTCCCTTTACAAGAGCAACATCTAAAGGGGCCGAGATGTTGGAGGCACTTTTATAGCTCTAGAGAGTGCTGTGTACTCTACTGAGGAAGAAGCATTATGGCTTGTGGCCACAATCAATTTTCTGGAATTCTGGGTGGGTTACCAGCACACAACATATCCATTGATATAAATATACACACAGATATATGCATGGTATCTGTTTTCAAAAAATTTTTCAAGATTGTACATTCAAAATGAACTTGCTTCAGTTTATCCACAGGGAAGCAGAATGCAAAGCATAAGACATGCACAACCAGAGGCTCTTAGGGGATGCCATCCTCATAAACATGTCTGGTGGGACATTCGTTGAGGAGATGAATCATCTTTCTGGGAAAGAGCATGAGCTGCCAGACCATATTTCCTTTCTGCTTTGTTATTCAGAATACAGATGTGCTTTAGAAGCAGGGATAAAAAGCAGAGCATGTTTCTTTTAACATTGTTTGTCTTTCTTCACAGTTAAATGTACATTTTGTTCCCCAAATAGATGCCGAGCAGCTAACTAGCCTAATTGTATATATTCATGGAAAATGAGATGTTTATAATTTTACAATGTGAGTCCTCCTCAGTCCTTTGAAGAGATTAAAATGTACATCCTGTTTAATACAGGTGAAAATGTGTTTCCGATCACATCCTCTACCACAGTGGTTCCAAGGGTGCTAGTTTTTCTTCCCTACCCCCCTGCCAAAGTCACATGAGTTTTACATGTCTTATTCCAACACATTCTCATCACCAACCACCACTTATGCCGAGGGCCTGTGAGTGAGGCATTGTAGGAAAATGTGTTTGTTGCTTTGTGTGGTCGGGCATCATTAATCCTCATAACCACCCTCACAGGCAGAGATGCTTTTCTTTCCTTTTGCAGGTGAGCATACTGAGGCAGAGAGCAGATAAACAATTGAGAACCATAGAGCAGGTATAGATGGAATTAGAATTTGAATAAAAACCATTTCACTCTAATGTCAGTATCCATCCTGTGACATTTTATACTTTTTACATCTACTTTTGTAAGTATTTTATTGCCACTTAATATATACAAAAATACCTACACATGTATGAGTGTATTTATGCCCTGTGTATTTGTCATATATACTCTGCCTATTAAAAAAATGGTTTAGGTAGTTTGCCCAATATTAAAACTAAAAACAACTGGAGAACATGAATTGATCATATGAGAAAAGGGAAGAAATTGTGCCAGAAGCTGAGGGCAAGGTGGCAAGATATTCACTGCACTTCAGTTTATCTTTGAACTTCCAAGTAACCAAAGGAAGAAAGTGAGAAGCCTCCTCTCTTTTTCATTCCATGTCTACATTTCGCTAAATGTTTCCAACTTGGCATTTTCCTTGTCGTGTGTCCACACATGATGGGCTCTTCTAGCTGCTAGAGGAAACCAGGGTCCTCGTCTCTCTCAGGAGCACAGAAGAGAAAAGGAGACTAAATCAAGATCTTAGACTTCAGGCTATGCTAACCTCTGAGGGGTGGGAGAGAGAGAGAGAGAGAGAGAGAGAGTGTGTGTGTGTGTGTGTGTGTGTGTGTTTAATGATGTTTTCAGGGACCTGACCTTATAAATTCCTAACTGGCTATAATCCTGGACTCAGTCCAATGCACTAGAGAAGGTCCTACAGAGATTGAGGTCCATCCCTAGTAGCATCTGATTTAAATAACTACAAATTATGATAATAAGCTTACTCACACTCATATTGAGAAATTATGGCCTTCCATCTAACAGATACTGAGATCATGTTAATCAGAGTGAGATGTTTTTCTGTAATACTACAGGTTAAGCAGTTTTCATTTCTATTATTTTGTTATTGTTACATTTAGATCTTGGAAATGTTTCTTGTAGTCAAGTGTGTATTTTGCCACAAATCTATCAAGTAGTACAAAACCTACATATGCAAATATGTATATACTATATATATGTGTGTGTGTATACAAAAATCACATAGGTGTTCATATTATACAGGTACATAACTCAAGCTAACGATAAATCTGGAAAAAGATGAATCTGGAGTCTGGCCCAGGGTTTTAAGAATTCTACCATATAATTTGCCATCTTTGAGTTGCTGAGAGAGAATTTGTTAGGAAGGAATTCTACATTGTCCTCCCTCCCTCACCCTCTGCACGTAGCAAGTACACCAGGACTTCCCTCATCTGGAAGTGAGACAGAGTCTCTAGCACGAAAAACAAACAAACAAACAAAAACCCTAAATGAAGAAGAGTGGGGAAGAATATGCTGCTCTCCCAGTGAGTGGTTCTCAGACTTCAGTGTGTATCACCATCACTGGAGATCTCATGAAGCACACATTGCTGGGTTCCACCCTAGAGCTCCTGATTCAGTAGGTCTGGGGCGAGGCTCAGAATTTGCATTTCTAACAGTGATGCTGCTGCTGTGGTTCCAGGAATCACACTTTGAGTACCACTGTTCTAGGGCCTTCTTTGTCCAAATACAGTCCACGAGTTAACAGCATCTGTATCACCTGGGAGCTTGTTAGATGTGCAGAGTCTCAGGCCCCACCCCGGACCTACTGAATCAGAACTTGAATTTTACTTAGACTCCCCAGTGAGTTGTGTTCACAGTGAGGCCTGAGAAGTGTCGCTCTTAAGGAAAGAGAAGCATTTTCCAGCACAATATGAGCTTTTGAGAACTCAGCTGCTACCAGCAATGGCTCAGATTTCCTAGAGTCTACCAAGTTCAGGTATTGTCTTTTTCCATTTTGTGATCATATTGAATGGGTTTTCGTGCTCCTCTTATCCCCAGGTGGAAGTGAACTTCCCAGATCCTCGTGCCCATCATAAGTTACCCATTTACACAACGCTGTAGTGGAGGCTGCAATACTTCCACAGTAAGTTGTACATTGTGGGCTGTACTGGCTTTGAGTTTCAGTCCTGGCTTCACGGCTTCATTGCTTTGACTTTGGACAAGATAATCTTCCTAAGCCTCCTTTTAAAAGGAGCCTAATAACAGGATTTACCTCTTAGAAATTTTGCATATTGTTACTATGTGTAAAATTCTTAGAACAATTGTGGGTATATAGTAAGTATTACCTAAACAGTAGTCAATATTATATTCTGTGAAGCTTTTCAAGTCAGCTTCTATCGTGATTTTTTATGTAGATATCTAATTACAAACTGTGAGCAATACTGATTGCTGAACTTGCAAGTAAATGTCTCATCCATCTCCGTATCTTGCATGTACTTAGCACAAGTCCTCTCATATGCTAGATGCTCACTAAGTGTTTGCTGAATGAATGAACACACAAATGTGTGCACTGTTTGCATGCTCACTCTGCCCATCAAGCTGGGATGTGCGTTTCTTTGGAACACAGAATGCACCACAGAGGAAGATCCAGTACAATCAAGCAGGAAATAGTCTCTCCCTGCTCTTGTAGAAAACTCTCCATCAGAAAGAGCTAAGTCAAGTCACTGTTCAAGTCTCATTGGTAAATCAGGGTTAGAAGACACAGCATGACAGGGTAGCTAGGGAGAAAGGGCCAGACACCAAGGGATATGGGGAGTTGAGTCCAAAATGCAGCCCTGGGCTGGCTGCCTCCCACTCTTACCCAGAAGTGAATGGGTTATATTTGCCAGGTCCTGAAACTCACCTATCCACACAGTTGCCATATCTCTTTTCATCACTTCCCATCTCCACTACCACCAACTCTACCTTCTATCTTCCTGATCAAATACTGATGTAAAGAAAGAAAACCCCAGGGAGGGTCCCATTATAGACAGCTGTAACACCACAGACTATAAGACTGTCACTTTGCTTAACTCTAGACTCTTCCTTCTGTGAGGGCAGGAGCTGCCTACTTTGTTCACTTCAGTGTTCTGACAAAGACTTTCCTTGACCAAACTCTAGTCAGTTTTCTTGGAGACCTCTCTTCTACTTAGCTCCAACCTAGGCCCTTGTCCTGTCTTTGGCCTGCCTAGCCCTTGGCCCTTGTCCTGTCTTTGGCCTGCCTTAGAATCCTACTAAGTCAGTTTAGTAAGGATCCCTCTACCCTTGATATCTCTCTGGTCAAGTTCCTCATCCCCCACCTTTGATGTATAAGTCCTTGAACTGCCTTTGGCAAGAATCTCCCTGTATGTTTCCTTTTAGTAATTTTCCATCCAGCTGATCCTCCACAGGCTATGAATCCCAGCTGTCTTTGCTGTATTTAGAGTTGAGCTTGATCTTTCAATATTTTTGACAATTGTTGCAATAGTCCTGAATAAAGTCTTCCTTACCATTTTAACAAATGTCAGAATAATTTTTTCTTTAACAATTCCCAGACCAAAGTGCAGTGTGTGGCCCATGATAATATGCCATGTAAGAGTGGAGAGGTTTTGGATTCAGGGAGCTCTACCTCTTTCTAGCTGTGTGACCCTGGGCAGATTACTTCACCTTTCTCAATTGCAGTTTCCTCATCTGGAAAATGGCAATAATAGTTATACCAGCCTCCCAAAGTTGTTTAAGAATTAAATGGAACAATGCATGGAATGTACTTAGCACCGTCATCTGGCACCCTGCAGGTTGAGAAGGGCTGAAGGGAAAAGGGCCAGATCTTACAAGGCTTTATCCACCCTATGACAGAATTGAGAATTTAAGACTCCATTTCAAATAAGCATTATGAGCATTATAAGCAGCCCCCTGAAGATTCTCTCCTAAAAACGCTTCTTAGCTGCCATATTTTTGAAAACTGCGTTTATGTGGCAGCTGCTGCAATGAAGCTTTGTGTTTTGTGATTACTCGTCTCTCTAACAGCTGTTAGTTCCTCCTAGAACTCTGTTTACCTAATTTGGTTAGGCTGGTACCCAGACAAATGGGCTTTGATATGATAAATGGTCCATAAAAGCGAAAGGCATAGGCATATAATACTAATCTTCATTCTATCTAGGAATAAAGAGAAAGGTTGCCAGCTGTGAAAACCCACCAGATTAGAAGCTGATTTCTGATTGTTAGCCTGCTGGGAGATAATCTTGTCTGCATGACCTGCAGAAATGGTAATAATTTGCAATTATGTACCAGCTTTTCTCTTAGGACACACAAACACTTTCTAAATATTTCCCTAAACTCTGTGAGGCAGAGATGCTGGGATATTATTTTGCAATTAAAAAGTCATCTGTAAAGAACCACTTTAATCATCTTTCCCATGCTGCCCATTTGGGCAGCCTCTCAAGCTAGTGTTTTTGGGAGGGAAATGTTACCTGATCCTGTTACCTGAACACCTCAAATCTTGGCACTTGCATGTGTGTTTGTACACTGGCATATCTGTTAAATTCTGGAGCAGTGCATCTCTGGTTCCCTTTTAAAAGCTGCACCATCAGACGTATCAGAACAAAAGCACTTAAACCGGCATCCTTCAGAACCAGCAATACCTTGGCGAGTCCTAAAGGTCAAGAGAAATAATGGCAACCAACTCCTTGTTTAAGTCACTTCAAGGACTTCCTATATAGTACTTGGGTGAAGAGTGTATCTTGGTAATGGGCTGCTGCCCAAAGCATTTCCTTTTCCTATTTCAAAAAATCGTTATAGAACTGAGACCAGGAAGCTTGCTGACCAGTGATGACACTCACCTCTGTGCTGGGTTATGCAGAGGGCCCCTGGTCAGAGCCCTGAGAAATGGAGGCTCAATTCCTGGTTTTAGAAAGCCACTTTTGCCGCATGTGTTTAGGAAAATCTTTTCACCTCTGTGAAACTTTTTCTTCTCTTTTATCGAAAACGTCCGCTTTCTAAGAGTGCTGAGAATACCAAATGAGATAACAGGAGTAAAAGCAGTTTGAAAATCATAAAGGAATATACATATCTGGGGAAGGGTTTTTATCATGTTATTTGGGACTGAGGCCTAAAATCGGGCATTCCGACCTGTTTTCTATGCTGACCTGGAAATAAACACTGCCCCATTATCCATGCCTGCTCCCCCTAGACCGGGAGGGGCAGGTGCATGGTATACATACTCTCTTTCTCCCTCGTCACCTCCTCATTCCCCCATCACAATTGATATTCATCGCTCTCAGAACTCATTCAGGCCTCAGTCTGTCAGGGTGCAACACCCTTGACAACTAGTTACAATGACAACAGTTCAGTGGTCATCTGAAATGAACTGAAACATGGACCTCTAACTCCCTGATACCGCAATACCTTGGCTAACTCCCCTGAAACTTCCAAAAGGGAGGGCTGGAATGACAGTGTAGGTACCACCCAGCAAAACATTCTTTTGCTTAAGAAAACATTTCAGTCTCTGGGGAGGGTCCCTGTTGGAAAGGGTGCTCGGTAAACATTTAGTGTTTAGTGATGTTCACTAAACATTTTCCCTGTTTCCCAGTCCTCTGGCTGGGACCCATAGAACTAGTACTGCCAACAGCCTTTGAACAGAAGTGGCCCGTATCACTTCTGGGCCAAAGCACAGAGGATCCTCCTGGCAGCTCTTCCCTGGTCCTCCTACTGAAAAGGCCACGAGGCCTGCATGGCATAGCTGTAAGATAGTAAAGTCTTCATTATCTCAGGCTCCTGTAGGACAGTGTATTAGTTTACTTGGACTGCTGTAAACAAATTATCTCAAACTGAGAGTTTAACAATAGAAATGTGTTGTCGCACAGTTCTGGAGGCTAAAAGTACAAGATCAAGGTGTTGTCAGCGTTGATGCCTTCTGAGGGCAGTGAGGAAGAATCTATTTTGTCTCTCACCCGGCTTCTGGTGGTTTGCTGGCAATCTTTGGTGTACCTTGGCTTGTAGAAATAACATGGCAATCTGTTTGAATCCTCATGTGGCTCTCTCCTTGTGTGAAGTCTGTCTCTAAACTTACCCTTTTTATAAGGACACCAGTCATATTAGATTAAGGACTCACCTACTCCAGTCAACCTCATCTTAATTAATTATCTCTATAATGACCTTACTTCTAAATAAGGTACAGGGAGTTAGGACTTCAATATATGGATTTGGGGCAGGGGACACAATTTAACCAATAACAGACAGTATTGACCCATACTGGATATGCTGCATGAGCGAAAAATAAACTTTTGTTTTAAGCAATTGAGGCTTGGGAGCTGTTTATTATATCAGCATTGTCTCACTTTTCCTAATTAACAGCAGAAGTTTAAATTATCTGCACACATTAAGTCATCAGCTTGCCCATAAGTAGGCATGAAGTTGACAGCAGCATTTCTTCTGAGAGGTGGGTTCTCCCACATCTGACTGCCTTAGAGCATGGGTCCCCTGTTAGGAACCAGGTCGCATAGCAGGAGGTGAGCCGCAGGCAAGCTAGCGAAGCTTCATCTGTATTTGCAGCCGCTCCCCCAGCGCTAGCATCACCGCCTCAGCTCCACCTCAGATCATCAGGCATTAGATTTTCACAGGAGCACCGATCCCTGGCTCCATGAAGGTTAGGGACTGCTGCCGCAGAGGTTGGTGGTGATTTACTGTCACACAGCCTTGTGGAACTGGAGCTAACTGGTTGGCTATCTGAAAGACTGAGCAAGTGCTCTACGTCTCACCTTTAACTTGCATAGAAGAATCACAAAACAAAGGAAAGAAGAAAAGAAAAATACTCTTTTCTTGGAATGAAAGGGTAGATAATCCATTTTTTAGCACTACTGAGTTTCAAAACAGGGTCTCCAGAGATCTTCTAGTTCAAGTGATTTACTTCTAGATGAAGAAATTGGGATCTTGACAGGTAAACTGACCTGACCACTTGTCCAAGGTCATAGAATTCATAGGCAGAGCTGGGATTGGGACCTCAGTCTCCTATTCCAAGTCTGGAGAGGGAAGTTGGGGCAAATGATAGTGTCCAAATACATGATTTACTTTTGAGCACTGCTATGGTTTGAATGTTTGTGTCCTCCCCAAGTTCATGCATTGGTATTA